ACTGCAAGTTTGTAGCAGGAGCCCATTACTACTAAGCCTGCAATAATCAGACACCAGTTTCAGACCTAATATGGAGGCCCAATCTACGCTGCAAGCTGTAAACCTGAGTTTGCAAGAGATTTGAAGTTCTGCTCCATGATTTCATCTCTTCAGAAATTCACGAGTAGAAGGGTTGGAGTGATGGATGGGATTGATAGGCTAGTTCCAAAAGAACCCTACCTGCTCCATGAAATGAGTTCAAAAACTCCCGAGCCCATTTAGCATGATTCTTCTTCAAGAGATTAACGATAAAGTCACGATAATTTGGGTCTTTAAGTTAAAAATTACAAGTTCTTGCCTTGTATAGAACAGTTGTGTATTCGATAGCTTTTTTTCAATGAATTAAATCTGATATTACGGTCTTTTTAACCTCCTGATGAATTAAAAAACAGAAAAAAAACCTTTTATTGTTTATGCACTAGCCTGATTTGATGGCCTATGTTGCGTCAATACATGCATGAAGACAGTCTTAACCACTGAGTGGTCCACGTTTGAAATTCGAAAGCGCTGGCAGGAAATTGAAAAACTGTTGTAAGTATTGCCTGGGAATGGGTAGAATTCAAGTGCACGCGACATATCTAAATCGTACAAGACGAAAGAGGTCCATCTTGGATGATTTTTTTTGGTTTGTCTTCAACTTCTTGGAATCTTCATTGCAGTTTGCAGAGGATGCTTGTTGGAAACGAGCAGAGAAAAGGTCCGCATGCCTGAAATTAGCAATGTAAGAAACTTAGAATATTAATTTCCAACCATATACTTATTATCTTTTCTGCTATAGCAACCAGTAGCCCCCTCTCTACCCCACTCATGGCATCGAACCTGCAATAATTTGAGAGGCCCTCAACCCAATAGGCTGCTCAAGAATCTCAAACATGTGGCTCTTGTTCATGATCATCTGCTGCCAATTCCTTTCTAAGGATTTTTCTTTCTGCTATAGAAAGCTCAACAATGTCATATACCAGTTATCAAAAGTGCCCCATTTGCATCAGTTGATATTAACTGCTGCCTTGAATAGTTGGCGAAATGATATTATCGTTAACTCGTGATAAATGGATCATTCTAGACTCTAGCGAGAGCCTATGCTTCCATGTTGATAAACAGTGCCAAGCAAACTTATGGACAAGATCACTGGCTCAGTTAAGCAAAACAACGTATTTGCCAAAGCCCTGCTACTAGCTCGGTCTTGGAGAGAAAATTATGCCGTATGTCCTGTGCTTAGACTTCTCTGCCAGCTTGTGCACTAGCTGCGGCCCATTGAATCCTAGTTCGTTCATTATGTCGTCATTATGCTCATTCATACCACCTTCAATTATCTTGCATATTCCCAGAGAGAATAATTAGCGGGTAAAACCTTATCAGATTGAGTTAGATTCCAACTGCAAGAATCTCATATTTCCTAGAAGGAAGTGAACTTTCATTGCCTTCGATTGTTACTAAATTCATATAGAATTTACGTCTTATCACTTGTATTAGTACTTGCATGGTAAACTGAAAGATCAATTAAAGGCAGCTTTCGGGTCCTTCTATTGAAGCATAAAATGCTTCAGTCTCTAGTGTTGATCATCCCTACAATTAAATACTTGAGAAAAACATGTGCTTGAGTAAGTTTTAAGGCTTTAAAGACTCATTTTTGTATTGTATGTAATGATTGCATGTTTGAAACTCAACTATGAACAGATACGGCTTCCACACATTGTTGACGCCAAAACATTTAATATATAATTAGACAACTGCAGCATCTTGAACGTTGATAACAAGTATAGCTTTTTTCATCTTCTAATGTTCGTGACAATATTCTTGATATTCCACCATGAATTTCTGTTCAGGTTGCCTAGACACGTGAAAATCAAGAATCAACTCCCATATCATGAAAAATGAAATCCTGCCTTCGGAGATGTTGCATGAATTATTCTCAAGAATTATTTATTGCTATGAGTATGACCCATTCTAAGATTCTCTTGATTAAATCTTGACGTTGGCAATGAACAAGGGGTACAGAAACAATCTGTCAATTGCTTTTGAAAGTCTAAATTGATGGTAGCAACGCAATTTAATCCTATATTTCACTGGATCATAACATCTCAATTGAAAGTTCAATGGGTCTTTTTGTGAAGACCACTTCATCCCATTATGGGCCTGATCAGCACCTAGGATTTCCACTCCAAGAGAAAGATGATGCTACTGTATCTTCTTCTATAAGGGATCAAACTAGGGAGTCCAACTCTGATATCATCTGATGTAGGAAATAGACGGCTAGTTGGCCCTAGAAACCTAAACTGGTGATAGTAGGCAAATTTTATTCAATATCCCACTCGATCGTAGCATTTCACCAATAAATTTGGCCTCCGGGTAGCGTGGTGGACCACGATCTTCCTGGATTACCTAAAGCTGAACAAATTGTTGAAACATATGTTTCCTCCTTGTCAAATCAGGGCCCCTCTCTCTTCTTCGATCATGAAAATCACAAAAATAGTGTTTCTATTGAGTAACCGGGCTTTGATTTTTTGCATGTACTAAGATCTATGTCTAGAATTGAGCCGGACGCTCATCTCTTCCCATCTTTACCTTTTTTTAGCGCCAAAGACAAGGACAAGTCAAAAAAAAAGAAAGAAAGAAAGAAAGAAAATTGTAGGTGGAAAAGACGTCAGAATTTCTGCAGCTTCCTAGAAATAACCTTTACTATAGAATACAATGGACATTAGTGCAATGTCTATATCACATGTTGGCCTTGGGAATATATCAGCTCTACTTTTACTGTGCAACCATTATTAGCCACCATTGTTGCTGAAATAATGAAAGCTAGGATAAATAAACACCACCGAAGCAGGGAAAATAGGTTTCGAAATCTGGACCATTAGGAGTACATGATTTCCATGTGCATCTTAGTTCTGTTCTGGTTGCATTTGTAAACGGTCATTTCTTTGTTTTTAATCTATTTTTAAATAAATAGTGGTGAAATAATACAATTGAAGATACAATTAGTGAAATAGTTTAGTTTCTACATATCTTCATTAAAATAACTTATTGTTATTTAGAAAAATAATATTCATTAAAAAATATTAAATAGATATGAGAGAAAAGATAAAAAAAATAATAATTTAAAGATATTAAAATTCTAATTATGACATTACCAGTATCATTAAAAAAATTTTAATAAGTTACATTTAATAAATATAAAAAAATATCAATCAGTATCATTAAATTTTTTTTAATAAATTACATTTAATAAATATAAAAAAATATCATAAACTATTACTCAAATAGGTTATACTTGCCATTCAAATATAAAGAATAGCCCACTTGTTTTTAGTAGTAAACATAATCCATTTAAATCATCGTTATTGAATTTTTCGGTATTGTTGAATTTATTTTACTAAAAAAAATTTTATAGTACTATTATTTATATAATCAAAATTTTAGTATGTATCTAAGATTTTTTTTTTCTATTTCTCTTTCTTTTACATTTAATATTTTTATTAAAAATATCATTATAAATTATAAAAAATATGTTTTTCAATTGTGAATTGTGACACGTGTATAAACTGTTATATTTCACTAATTTTTTTAAATTATGATATTTCACAAATATTTTTAATTAATTAAGTTAATTTAAAAAAAATATATCCGTAAACCCCCTAGTCCGCTACTGCTCCAAACTTTTGGTAAGTTTGACCCATTTTACCGTATTCACTGTTCCTTGCCGCGGCAGGACAAGGTCGCACACCAGAAGTTATTGATTCTTGCAAAATCTAATGTGGATCTTGCACAAAAATACTCCCAAAACTCGGCCTATCAATGCAAAAATAGAAGGTTGATTGCGCAAGTTGGCTCGAGAAAACCGAACTGACTATCAAACCAATAAAAAAAATGAAGGAATCTGATTCAATCCTAACTCTGACTGCTGCAGAAGTGAAAATCACAAATGATGTTGCCTAACTCTAATCCCACACATCCAGCAAGAGTTTAAAAAAGCCAGAAATGCAAGTGTTCAACGCAAAAACTATCCGGCTCCAGAGAAAACTGACTCAAACCTGATAGTTCCTAGAGAGGCTCAGAATGAAGTTCTGGATGAAAAATTGCGATATAAAAATCCAAATATTTGACAACCACTGGTCAACTCTAATTACAGTAGCTCTAGGACCACACGTATTGCCTAAACCCTAGCTAGCTCAGTTTCAATTACCATAAAACATATAAAAAAATAATCTGGATTGTGTTTGTGTTACTCTTGCTTCGATTTTCATGGACATTAAGTCGTTAAAACATCTCTAAAATGAGAAGGATTTGAAAGGCCCTACTGCAGATAACATTTTCTATATACCTTCTTCTGTAATTGGTTAGTTCGTTGGAATTTGGATGGTCAGGTTTCTGTATATGGTGAGTTGATTAGTCTGGAATTATAAATTACAATGCCCATTATCGAGGGTGATCGAAAATGAAAAGCCTTGTCCTTGGATTAATCCTTCAAAATCACGACTTGAAATCCAAGCTCTACAAGCTGTGAGGGACAGAGACCTTAAATTGTCTGAGATCATTTATGGCAATCACATTCAAAGATAGCTTTCTCCAATTTATGCGTTGGTTTTATGTTTGCGTTTATCTCCTAATTGTTGTGGCAAAGCTAGAACTATTTGTTGAAGGGGGTAAATTAAGACAAGCTAGGTGCATTAGTGCGATTTTATTTGGACTTGTATGAAAAGGGAGAGAAGTAATGAAGGAGAAAGTACAAAATATCAAGGGAGCAATGGTCACCTTCACTATGATCCAGCTTCTCCCTGTCTAATTTATGTTTAAGGCTGGGCTTTAGTGCTGATTAAGTTTATTTACTATTATTTATATTATTATTATTATTATCTCACTTTAAAAAAATAAAAAAATCAAGGGTGGTCCAATGCCCTTGGTGTATCACTGTCGCATGTACTGCTTTACAAAGTCCTTGCCAGCCAAACTCACTGCCTATATATAACGTAACTTCGAGAAAATGACGTTTGACCATTTCATCTTCTCCCCTCTCTTCCTCTCACAAAACTTGCCAACGACCACCATCACCACCACAACGACCACCATCAGCACCTCCACCACCACCTAAGGTGGATACAAACAAAATCACGAAGCATAGAGACCATAAAGTGCCCACAACCAGTCGGCTCGTCTTAGGGACATGCGAACCAATTCATCGAGACCCTTTTGTCTCCCAACATTCATTGATTGTGGATTATTTTCTAACAAGGCTGGTTGATTAGAATTCTACGAATCTAGTCTGCTTTGGCCATGGCGGACATTGTGAAAGAGATCTTGGCAAGGCCAATACAATTAGCAGACCAAGTGACAAAATTGGCAGATGAGGCACAAACTTTCAAACAAGATTGTCAAGAACTCAAAGCCAAAACAGAGAAGCTAGCAGGGCTTTTACGCCAAGCCGCTCGTGCCAGCAATGATCTTTATGAACGTCCAACAAGGCGAATCATCGATGGCACAGAACAAGTGCTTGACAAGGCCCTCGCTCTTGTTGTCAAATGCCGCGCCAGCAACATAATGATAAGAATGTTCACGATCAGCCCTGCCGCCGCATTTCGAAAAATCTCGATGCAGCTAGAGAATTCAATAGGAGATGTTTCTTGGCTCTTACGTGTATCAGCTTCCGCTGCTGATCGCGATGATGAGTATTTAGGCCTGCCTCCTATTGCTGCCAACGAGCCAATTCTGTGTCTTATATGGGAACAAGTTGCCATACTTTTTACGGGGAGCTTAGAAGATAGATCGGATGCTGCGGCTTCATTGGTTTCTTTGGCTAGAGATAATGACAGGTATGGAAAGTTGATTATCGAGGAAGGTGGAGTTGCACCATTGTTAAAGTTGGCTAAAGAAGGCAAAATGGAAGGTCAGGAAAATGCTGCTAGGGCTATTGGGCTTTTAGGGCGTGATTCAGAGAGCGTCGAACAGATTGTGAATGCTGGGGTTTGCACCGTGTTTGCGAAAATCCTCAAAGAAGGCCACATGCAAGTTCAGTGTGTGGTGGCTTGGGCTGTTTCTGAATTGGCTGCACATCATCCGAAATGTCAAGACCATTTTGCGCAAAACAACACTATTCGGTTTCTTGTCAGTCATCTTGCGTTTGAGACGATCCAAGAACATAGTAAGTACTCAATTGCAAGCAAGCATAATATGTCGATTCATTCAGCTGTGATGGCCAGTAATAGTACTAGTCCTGATGAAGATGAACCAGCAACAAAAAGTCGTCATCCAGTGGATAATAAGAATCCTAGCCAGATGCACAGTGTGGTGACCAATACTATGGCTATGAGAAGTCAGACACTAAGCAATAACCAGCCAATACAAACCCAAACCCAAACTCAAAACCAAAACCTCTCAACACATCACCCCAACTATAACCATCCAAACCTTGCAAAAGGAAACCACAATATTCCGAAACAACAGCATAATCACCATGTGTCTTTGGCCGGGACTAGCATCAAAGGAAGGGAATTTGAAGATCCTGCTACAAAAGCACAGATGAAGGCAATGGCAGCAAGAGCACTTTGGCAACTAGCAAGGGGAAATGTCGCCAGATGCCGTACCATCACAGAGTCTAGAGCGCTTTTATGCTTTGCAGTTTTGTTAGAGAAAGGTCACGACGAAGTTCAATCCTATTCAGCAATGGCATTGATGGAAATCACAGCGGTAACTGAACAAAATTCTGAATTGAGACGCTCTTCGTTCAAACCTACATCCCCTGCGGCCAAAGCAGTGGTCGACCAATTACTAAAAGTAGTTGAGAAAGCAGACTCGGACCTCCTCACACCATGCGTCCAGGCTATTGGCAACTTGTCAAGGACTTTTAGAGCAACAGAAACTAGGATGATTGGGCCATTGGTCAAGCTATTGGATGAAAGGGAACCGGAGGTCACTATGGAGGCAGTAATTGCCCTCAACAAGTTCGCGTCGTCAGATAATTTCCTTTGTGTGACTCACTCCAAGGCTATTATTGCTGCAGGAGGTGCCAAACACCTAATTCAACTTGTTTACTTCGGTGAACAAATGGTTCAAATTCCCTCTTTGATTCTCCTAAGCTTCATTTCGTTGCATTGCCCTGACAGTGAGATTCTTGCAAATGAAGAGGTCCTTATTGTGCTAGAGTGGTCAACAAAGCAGGCTCATTTGATAGGAGAGCCCAAAATCGAGTCTCTGTTGCCGGTAGCAAAGAGTAGATTGGAACTGTATCAATCAAGAGGATCGAGAGGATTCCATTAACTCAATAATTAGTTCAGGAAATATGATGAAATTCTTTATCTTTTTCTTGTTTATGTTCTCTTACACTGCACATAAATTTGTATCCCTGTTATCATTAATGCTGTGGTAACTAATTGCTTAGGAAGGTACCTAATTAAATGCCTGTAGGACAAGCTTCTTGCATGCTATTTCAATTGTTAACCAACATCTTCTTATAATCATCTACTATATAGCTTGTTTTCCATTTTTTTCTACGTATACTTGTCGACTGAGGCTTGTCTAGCGGCACCATAAATAGAAAGGAACTCCGCTCTGAGGTCAAATAACCTGGCATCGAACCTTCAGGGTAAATTGTGAGAGCAGAGATTTCATCCTTCTTCCAATTTTAGTGTAAATTGTGAGAACAGAGATTTCATCCTTCTTCAAATTTTAGTATGCAAAAACTTGAATGATAGCTTTTCTTTTTCTTAACTTGAATGACACTCTGATGTCAAATTAGTACGGTTTATTATCAGGCGCCAGAATCAGCTTAGTGCCGTGATACCATAGCTGGAAACAAGTACTGTGTCACCATCACCGCTGCCGCGATTGCTGAGGACCACCAACACCACCAGTACCTAACATCCACCACTGCTATTGCGATGCGGAAAGCTGCGATAGCTGCTATTCGAACTCGGCAACATATACTCCATTTGCCAAGTAATTTGTTGCCAGTAGCATCAGGCTTGCCGGTCCAATTTGAGAATAGGACTATATGATTTGTTGATGATGTAAGGCTGATAGCAAGTTTCACCAGTATTCATCAAAAAGACAAACATTATTGTAGAAAGGCTGTTTCTTGACCAAATTTCCCTATTCTGACAGAAAGAAACTAGTCTCCGATGTTAAATGGCATTTTGCTATGGCAAATGTCAAAGTTAATCATTAAGATGTAACAAAACATGAAGGATTTATTACAAGCAAATTCAACGGGAGTACCCTGTACTATGTTGTTCGATGGAGATAGTTCAAGTTTACTGGAAAGTTTAATACTGAATAATATGTTGTGACGGTGACAAGACACTACCTAAACAACTCATGAGATTGGACCTACTAACTTTTGCCTTAATTTGGAAATATGGGAGCCTGAGCTTGAGATGATCGCATGGAGTTGCAAAGGATTTGATTAGTGCATATTGATAGATGTTGTAGAAATTTGACTTTTTTATTGTATTGTTTTTCACTGTAAACTAAAACTATATTTTCAATTTTAAAAATATATTAAAATAATTTTTTTATATTTTTTAATGTCAATACATTAAAACCATAAAAAAAGCATTGAAAAAATAATTTAATATTTTTAAAAGTAAAATATATAAAAAATAAAAGCAATCACCCTCCTAAACATTCATTAAAAATAAAATTTTGTAAATGCTCATGATCATAACAAAGCCAAAGCCGTTCTCCACATGCCCATTGATTTGAATACACGGCCTCCCCTGATTTAGAAGTTCTAAAATTTATCATCGACATGCTATCGAGCTAAACAATTAGGTTGTTCATCCCAAAAATGGAAAAGTAAAACAATCAGGTTTTTTTGCAGCAACAAGGTTAACGGGTCATGGAATGCTCATGGGCTGGTCCTAGGTTTGAGTTTTGATGCCTGAGAAAATTGCCTAGTAAAATAATTGCTCAAGGGCCGGGCCATGAACAAGAACACAACAAAACAGAAGTGGAAGGCTAGAGATTGACAGAGTTGGTGGCAGCTCTGAGCACCGGCTCCAATATTAAAACCACCGGCGAATTATTGGTTGGCATACACTTAAATTTATCGTAATTTTCAGTTCTTTGAAAAGCCACTCATAAATTACGTAAGGAATTTTTTTTATTTTTTAATATTATAGTCAAATTCCAATATGAATGTTAGTAAATTCTGCTTCGAGATCTCTTATGGCATCAGATCAACTTTTCTAACCACTGTTACTAGAATTTACATTGCTTTCCTGGGTGTTATGTACCTGTGGTCCATCTCATAATTTGGAACCCCCCTTCCCCTTTCCTCCACGACTTTTCCTCTCCATTTTTATGATTAAATAAAGGGTTTTTTAATACATGTTCGGTGTTCTTACCGACTATGATCTTCCTGTTATTAATAGTCAGCAGCGTATAGTTATTTTAAATTTTAATACCATCTTAATGTGAGGTTAGTTAAGAAATATTTTAGAAAATCTCATACGTAACAGTGGAACACGTAAATGATTTACCACATGATTATAGCCAGAGTCTTGTTCTACTTCTAAGGTCAATGTTTATGACATAAAAAATGAATATTTTCTTAGCTTCGTATTAATCATTTTTTAGTGTTTTTTCAATTGTTTTGATATATTAATATTAAAAAACATATTATTTCAATATATTTTTAAATAAAAATATTTTAAAAAATACTCTTCACCGTAATTTCAAATACTATGTAAGTGGTCCTCCATTACAGCACTTCTTTTCTACTTACAGTGTCTTGTAATATGGATAGGGAAGTTAGTCTACTATTATACATCAATAGATCAAGTTTTTTCTATGAATTAATTAAATTAAATTAAATTAAAGCTTATAAAAAAATCTAACTCTGTTAAGATGGAATTAGGTGTGGAGTCAAGTGTGGAATTCTTGTATTATGATTATATAAAAAAACTCATCACTAAACCTGCCTTGTTTATTTATTGATTTTTTTCGGCCAAAATAGAATTTTTATAAACAAATATTGTCACGTATGCCCGTACCGAAAATACCAGATATTGGTTTCCGAATTTACATGTCGGATAGGCAAATCTAAGACTGGATGACACACTTTACTCAAGTCCAATTGACTTTTAGCCTTTGGAATCTTCTTCTCGAGCAGAGAATTTTTTTATTTTTTTTAACCGTGTTTTTTCAAAAAAATTATTTTATATATTTTAGAATTATTTTAATATTTTAATATCAAAAATAAATTTTAAAAACTAAAAAAATATTATTTTAAAATATAAAATATTTTTAAAAATTATTATTATCACCATATTTAAAAACTCATTTACTCGAGGTCCGACTAAGTCGTTGCAACCATTGAAAACCAGGGCAGTTAAGGGGCATGTTCGAATAGGATGATAGTAGATTTGGATCTGATTTATTTAATAAAACTAATTGAATTAGAGATCTTATAAATTCAAAATGGGTTTTTAAATTGTCTATCTGGATCCTAAGAAGTTTGGATCGAATCTAAATATTTATTAAATTTCATTTAATTTGTTTTTTTTTAAATAATGTTCACTACATTCAAATTCATGCTTTGATGTAAAGTGAAATTAAACAAGATCAAATAAAAGAATACTTATTCAAACAAAAAAAATTATGTTACGATAATATTTCACTCGTTAATTTAAATAAAAAAAATTTCTTAATGTCTAAACATTAAAAAAAGAAAAAGAACAAATAATCCAGGTAAAACTTAAATTAAAAGTCAAGATTAATTTAAATTAGACAAGAAGTATCGAAAAAAATAAAAGAATACTTATTCAAGGAACAACTTGAATGACATGGAAGGAAATCCTAGTGATTTACAAAGAACAATGTTGGAATGGATAAAAATTTCAGATTGAATCAAGACGTTGTAAAATTTTTTTTACAGGATTGATTTTGAGACTTAAAATGGGATGGGAAAATAAAACTTAATAGTGTGATTGTTAAAAATAAATATATTATTATTTCATACAAGAATAAACCCTAAAGCTAAAGCTAGACCTAGTGTTATCTATACCTTTTTTTTTTTTAATGTTTTTAAGATATTATATTTATTAAAAATCATGTCAATATTAATTTCATATAGGATTTTTATTGGACTCGATCGAGGTAGATTAAAATTTGATCAATTTAATAAATGAGTTAATGGATTCGGATTGTAGTCATACTCTAGACACAGAAATTATATACCATATCCATTTAATTATATCGGATTCCGATCAAATTCAGATTAAGATTTGATCTATTGACAGACCTAGCTGACACCTTTCTTTTTTTAACAAAAGAAAAGGCAAAGGAAAAGAAGAAAGGAAAAGAAAAGAAAAGGAATAGATCATGGCCAATAAGAGGACAAATCGAGACCATGCCAATTGATTGAAATATTTGATGAATTGGACTGCGTAGAAGCAAAGCAGGATGTGGGGCTGATGAATTAATTCGGGAAACTCATAATGTATTGTCGCCAAATACTATTTAGTATATCTTGTGTGTTCTATAGCATTGCTGTTTCGCCATCCACGGCAAAAAAAGGAATACATTTCGTATAATTTCCCGATTTATCAACACTTTTCTCCATCATTTTTTTTACCAAATACCATTAAAGTGGAATTGATTACCATCTGGGGTCAGTCAGAACGCTTTCGACCGAATGTAGGCAAAGCAACTCGGTATCTTGTTCTTTCAACTACAAGCACGGTAGAAAACGCCAGCCTCTCGAGAAATGGCAACCGAGTGAACCTTTTTTTAAAAAAAAAATTTAAAAAAGGGACAAGAATCTGGATGGATATATTTAAAAAAAAAAGGGACAAGAATCTGGATGGATATCAACTATCACGTCTCATGGCACCACAAACAAATTGTCTAGAGTATTTCTGGCATCGCCAAAAGTAACTCTTAGCTTCGAGTTACAGATTTAAATTCGTTTTTCTATGAATAATACATGACAAGCTTTAAACTATAAATAATGTAATATAAATTTTTCTCTGTAATTTGTTTTGTTCCTGCGATTTAAATAATTACATATCATGTTGTATTTGAAATAATAATAGTAATTAATAAAATAGAAAGACCTGTACAGACTAAGAAAGATCGCACACGTATACAAGGAAGCAGCATCTCTGCAAATCTCTTCGTAGTATTATATATTTTAACTGTTTTTATATTTTTTTTATGAGTATTAAATAGAATAAATTATAATTTTAAAAAACACAAATGACAAGTCTTTTAAAAAAAAAAAATTCTCAACCGGGCTAGTTTGTGCTAAACAAAAAACCTCGTCTTCAAGCCGAAGGCTCCTTGATCTTACCACATTTTATTAGTGCCTGATGACAATCAAAATAAAAAGCAATGTGCCATGTTTTCACTGTAATAGACTATCGATAAACTATTCTACGACGGTGGAGGAGCCGAACAGTACACTACCACTAATCTTCTTTTAACTCTTCTCTGAAAAGAACACGGCTGGGAACGGGAGAGCCCTTTATTTTCCGAGGAAACGAAAAGGTTGCTTTTGACAACTTTTTGCTCCCATCTGGCTCTGTTACCCAGCCTGGCTCTCTTAAATGGTTCATGTGACCACTCTCTGCCCTGGTCCTGGATAGGGTTTGAGATTTACAGGCAAATTTCAGCCTCTCATTATTTTAAAATCTATAACTCTCAAATCTTTGCAGCGCCAATCGACCATTAGAATAATGGAAATGAGTCGGGATTTGCTAGAGCAAAAGGGGCAAAAAATTCCTGGGTCAGTAGAAGGCAGTGAAAAAAATAGAGGCTATATCAGGGATCATCATTAATTCTATGAGAAAATAGTTGATGGTTGGATTCCTAGCATTCATTTTTCTACTTAAGAAGGAAAGAAAGGATAAAAGGACCACAAAAAATCAAAAGAAGCAAAAAGGATTGTGAGTAGTAAAGTTAATTAATCACACTGTTTCTTCCCACATGATGCATTGAAGTTTGAAGCTTGCCTCATGGAATAGAGGGACAAGGCCTCGTTGATAAGTCCAATCCAACACATGCTTTGACTGTCAAGTGACCACCTTTGACTAGTCCTCTACCTTACAACCACACATCTAAAGGGCTCCACTGTTATATAACATGTTTGTTTTTATATTTTAAAAAAATTAAAAAACTTTATTATAAATTAATATTATTTGATATTTCTAAATAATATATTAATTTTAAAGATAATTTTTTTAAAATAAAAAATATTATTATTTTAATATATTTTTAAGTGAAAAACACCTTAAAAAATAACCGCAACCTCGCTGTCATGTTTGTGAACGCAACTGTAACCGTGTTTCTTTAAAATTTTAAATTTTGTTTGTTAATTTTTTAATGTTTTTATATCGTTTTGATGTGTTGATCTCAAAAATAATTTTTAAAAGATAAAAAAATTATTTTGATATATTTTTAAACAAAAAATTAAACCACAACCGTTACCACAATCCCAAACAGACCCTAAAACTATTAGGTTATGAAATTTTTTAATGAGATATGGCAACCTCCTACATCCAATATCCTTAAATTTAGTAAGCTTTGAGACAAGTGGAGCTACCGAAACTAGTATTTTTTGTCTTAACCAAACACTAACCCTGGATATATACAGGGCTAATGAGCAAGTGCATGTGCCTTTAAAAATCTTGTTAGACTCCATACTGGATCATGAGATTTTCAAGAGTTACAGATATTTTTCATTTGATACGTCAGTTATATTATTATTTTTTTGACACTTAAAAGATGTTTAATCTTATCAATGAAATAAGACTTGTTTAGTCCTCTTCTCAAAAAAAAAAAAAAAGAATCATGAATTATAAAGACTCAATAAATCATTAAAAGAAGAAGGTTATGAATCTTCATTCTCATCTGTATATTTATTTTTAGAGTTTTTTTTAAATATCATAGCCATTTTTTAAAAAAAAAATACTTATTTAAGCATAGTAAATAAGTGTGAATAATCCTAAAATGCTAGGGGCTTCAATGTCCTCTACACTTACAATACTAGAGGCATCACCTGCAAGTCCTTGAGGTAACCTTCATCTCCTTTGAAGTATACTAATATTAGTGTTGAGAAAGACTTCTTATACAGGAGAACTACTCTCCTCTCTCGTCTATGATGGATGTTGGAGCCCCATCCCTTCTAATTATAAGGTCCAATCCAATTGACCTATGTCCCTTGCTGCTTCTCCTGATCTTATGTTGGAATTAGAACTCCTTATAAGTGGTAATAACATCCATAATCTGATTTTTTTCTTAATTCGTTTTTTATTCACAGTAAAGAAGAAGAAGAAAAGAGTTTTCTATAGGATGATAGTCTTGTTCTCAAATTAGACTAAGATTAGCTCAAGATTTTTTCACTAAATTGTTTCTTAAAAGTTACAAAGAGCAAAAATAAAAAATAAAATTGAGAACAATAATAACTAGGGTTATAAATGAAATAATCACCCATCCACATTGTTAGATGGAGTGACCTTTCATGTTATCTTAAATCTCCAGAAATCCACTTAATTATTATATTAAATGCAAAATGTCATTTTATTTCATAATGAACACCTCTTTTAACAAAAACGAGCCACTTAGCCACAAGAATTCCAACAATTATGTATAAGACATGCAAATATTATGGGAAATGTGAAAAAACTCTTATCTATTACTAATAAACTTTAAAGATTTTTTTTATGTTAAATACATAAAGATTTGTAAGTCTATTGATAGATCAACATTTTTTTTTTTACTTGGATCCTCAATTCAAAGGAATTAAAGAAAAGGTAATAATTCATCATCCTTATACTCATCCAAATACTGTGCCTAAGCATGCATGTATCTAACAAGTTGTCAGACCTAACATCCTTAGGCTCAACTGTATATCGAGCCCATATATTCATAGGTTGGGGCAAGGTTCCAGACCCAATAATCTTGGGCTTAGTCAAGTGTTAATCCCAAATATATAAAATTTTGATGAATTATTAGACTCAACATCTTTGGAATTAACTAAGCATCGAGTCTCGACATATAAGGTATGACGAGCTGTTAGACTTAACATTTTTACGCTTAATCAAGCGCTAAGCCTCAATATATACGGGTCTAGTGAGCTTCTAAACCTAGTATCTTTGAGCTCAGCTATGTGTTAACTCAGAGTATAAATGACTTTAAAAATCTTGTTAGGTTTCATATTAGATCATAAGACTTCGATGAAATATAGATTTTCTCGTTTTTTACACATAAAAGATCTTTAACACTATTAAATAAATACAACTTTTTAGTCCTTCTTACCACTAAAGGTAAGAATTATTGGCCTATAAATACCCTAAAAGAAGAAGGTTTTAAATCTTCATTCTCAATTATATATTTATTTTCAAAGTATTTTTCTAAAATATCATGACTTTTTCTCTAAAAATAAAAATTATTTAAATATCAAAAAGTATCTAAATTCATCAAAAAAAAATTTACAGGTACTAACCATTCACCACTTTAACCTATCAAGAATAAAGCACTAGTTACTAGTTATTTTAATTAAATAAATAAATTTAATTATTAAAATTAATAAATTAATTGATTATCTAAGATATAATATTTGTTGAGAAAGCTTTTTAATGGAAGGGGATGGAATCAATTCTTTTCACCTCTATTCCTCTTCATCTTCTCAAGATTATCTTCCGTAAAAGAAATGTTTTGAATTTTTATTATTATCCTACCAATTATATCCATACAGTTTTTATAGATAAATGTTTCTCAATAACTGACTCGCAGTAATCATAATCATCAACATCCACTTGCTTCTCCAACAAACCAAGAAAAGTAATCATTTTTCGCTGCTCTCTTTCTTTACCCAGGCATATAAAGGGCATTACTTCCTCACTTTTCCTTCACTTCTCTGCACAAAGTTCGATTCTACTCTCTTCCTCGACAAGTTATCAATCTCGATTCGGTTTAGTAAATTTATTAAGAAAAAATCCATGTATCAAAGCTAAATTTGAACTAGGTTTTCATTTGAATTTTTCTTAATATTTACTTAATTTGCAATCTCAAGTTAAAATCAAAGAATTTTTTTTAAATAAAACATAAAATGAGGTTGACCCATCATTTTTTTAGAAAATTGATAGGCTGAAGTTGACCCAAAAACGTAGAATCCTAAATCCTTTTCCAAACCAAACCGAATTTTATCCTAGCATTGTAATTATGTTCCCAAACCCGCTCTAAATGTATTAATTACGAACTAAACAATTAATTCACTCAAGGTGACTTGGTGAATTAATTTTTAATTTGGTTTAACTTCTCAGACCAAGACCAAGAATTCATGGGGGGAAAACATCTGAAACGAGGTTTTTTTTTTTTCTTCTCCGAAGTAATAAACCTGAACTGATCAGGTAACACGCTAGCTAACTCGAGAATTAAGTAACCAAAGTCCTTTTCCAAGTCAAACTCGGAGTCGGGTATAATAACTAAACCCTAAACCCTGTACCACTCCTAAACTACCCCAATGAAAACTCGTTAGCAAATACATTTGACAGACAATCCTCTAATAAATAAACTCGTTATTCCCAACTTACCCCTACTATCTCTTCTGATTATTGTTAATCAAACGGTCACAAATCCATCAACCCAAAAATCCCCAACCATTTGATCTCCTCTAACAGCCGTCTCTTTGTTACTCTCAAAACAAGAATCCGACGTGTCACTCGCATCCCCCTTGTATAAATACGTCTTAACCTACACAACCAAAAACCACACACCCTTTCTTGTTTCTCTCTCTTTCAAGATTAGGGTTTTCGTTTTCAAGAAAACACCATGAGCGATCAGAGGCAAACAGGGAAGGTGAAATGGTTTAGTGACCAAAAGGGGTTTGGTTTCATAACCCCTGACGATGGCGGTGATGATCTATTTGTCCACCAATCTTCCATCAAATCTGAAGGGTATCGCAGCCTTGGAGACGGCGAAGAGGTTGAGTTTGAGATTGAAAACTCTGACGATGGCCGTACTAAGGCTGCTAATGTCACTGCTCCTGGTGGAAACCCAGTTCAGGGCATCCGATCCAGTGGTGGATATGGTGGTGGTGGGTATGGAGGCGGAGGTGGCGGCCGCGGAGGCCGAGGTGGTGGAGGCTACGGAGGTGGCGGAGGATATGGAGGTGGTAGCGGCGGGTATGGGGGTGGAGGTTATGGCGGCGGGATACGGAGGGGGGGGTGGTGGGTATGGCGGAGGTGGCGGTGGAGGTTGTTATAGTTGCGGGGAGTCGGGGCATATGGCCAGGGACTGTCCACAAGCTGGCGGGGGGGGGGGGGGGGGGGGGGGGGGTGGGGGGGGGGGGGGGGGGGGGG